AGATGCAAAGAACATTACGATTAGCTCGTCACAAGACGCTGATGGATGTCTTATCTGCCGCCCTCGAATACGAGTCAGCTACGCAGGCCTCTGGCGGGTATAGCAAAGTTAGGACTGTAAAAGAGGAAGGAGATGAAGATAAACTTGACCAGCTCTTTAATATGATAAAAAGCATGACACACAAGAAAACGAAGACCATAAGACCGAAGACAAAACCAGAACGCGTCGGCCTTAGGGGAGCAGCTTCGACCCAGAACTTTACCAAAGACCCTCTGATACTAATAGCTTCTTTGAAATGTCGTGAAGATAGTGTATATGTAGATGGAGAAATAAATGGTAAAAAGCATACGTTGTTGGTGGATACTGGAGCGACCAGAACCATTATACGCCCGACAGTTATAAACAGCCGAAAGAAACTGTTACCAACGAGGTTGCGACTTCGGACCGCCACAGGTGAAAATGCCAACATTCATGGAGAAATCCAGGTACAATTAGGAATTGGAGCAGAAAAGTTCGTCCATACTGTTATAGTTGCTGACATCGAAGAGGATGTTATATTAGGAATGGACGTAATGAATACGCATGGATTCCAATTGGATTTTAAGAATAAGGTCATCAAAGTTGGTAACGAGGAGGTATTTCTTCATCCACATGATGACAACACTATGCAAGCAGCCGTTAAAGAAGATACAGTCGTGCCTGCGAGAAGTGAAACGATCATAGTAGCACGGCTACAGGGAATTGTGGACGAAGGAACACCTGTTATGATGGAGCCTTGGAATCATGACGACGAAGTTGGCCGTGGAATCATAATTGGAAAAGAATTGGTGACTTCGGCTAAAGAAATTCCTGTGAGACTTATTATTGTCAATGACTACCCAGTGACCATTAAGAAAGAGACAAAAGTAGGAACTTGTGTACCTGTCACGTCCATAATCCGTCAGACGACAACGTCTGATAATTCCAACGATAAATTTGATCAAATGGTCGCAGTTGCTGGACAGTCTCTGAATCAGATTAAAAAAAGGAAATTAAGGGAATTTCTTCGGCAGTATCGTGATATTTTCGTACCGAAAGGAGGAAAGACGGGAAGAACTACCGTCGTTAAGCATAAAATTGATACTGGTAATGCTAAGCCAATTCGTCAAACAGCTCGACGATTACCTCAGGCGAAAAGAGAGGAAGCTGAAACGATTGTTCAGGAAATGAAGAAAGACGGGGTGATAGAACCTTCTACGAGCCCATGGGTCTCTTCGGTGGTCCTGGTTAAGAAGAAAGACGGAACAACGAGGTTCTATGTGGATTACCGTTTGCTGAACATCGTTACCAAGAAAGATAGTTATCCTCTGCCTCGGATCGATGACACATTAGACACATTAGCTGGAAGTAAATTATTTTCTACTTTGGATTTGAAGTCTGGATACTGGCAGGTAGAAATGGACCCGGTAGATAAAGAAAAGACAGCCTTCACCACAGGATCTGGATTATGGCAATTCAACGTTATGCCATTTGGACTTTGTAACGCTCCTGCGACATTTGAGAGGCTTATGGAAAATGTGTTGAGAGGGTTATCTTGGAAAACATGCCTAGTTTATCTGGACGACATAATCGTCTTGGGGGAGACATTTGAAGACCATCTGAAGAATTTAGAAAACGTTTTTAATCGACTTAAAGCTGCCCAATTGATGTTAAACCCCAAGAAGTGCCAGCTATTTCAAGGTAAAGTTATTTATCTTGGTCATATAGTCAGTAAAGAAGGAGTGGCCGTGGATAAGGGAAAAATCGATTCCATTAAGGAATGGCCAAAACCAACTGACAAACATCAAGTGAGAAGTTTTCTTGGACTATGTACTTATTACCGGAGGTATATTAAGAAGTTTGCAGATATCGCTAAACCATTAACGCGACTTACAGAGGAAGCAAGAGAATACCGCTGGGATGTAGACTGCCAAAATGCCTTTGAGACCTTAAAAAAACATTTAATCACAGCACCAATTTTAGGGTATCCACTGCCAGAAGGAGAGTTCATCTTAGATACAGATGCAAGTAATGTGGGAATTGGAGGAGTGCTGTCTCAGATTCAAGGAGGACAGGAAAGAGTCCTTGGATATTTTAGTAAAGTTCTCTCAAAACCTGAGCGGAATTATTGCGTCACGAGAAGAGAACTTCTGGCAGTAGTGAAATCAGTAGAGCACTTCTATCAATACCTCTATGAAAGGAAGTTTTTAATCCGAACCGACCATGCCGCCCTTAAGTGGCTGATGCAGTTTAAGAATCCAGAAGGTCAGATAGCCAGGTGGATCGAACGACTCCAAGAATATGATTTTAAGATTGAGCACCGGGCCGGAGTTAGCCACCGAAACGCTGATTCTCTTTCCAGAAGGCCATGCCCAGCAGAGTGTTCTCACTGCAACAAAACGGAATCCAGGGAAGCAGCAGTGCTAAGAACGACGGTGGTCCACGACGACTGGACGCCTACCAAGATCAAAGAAGAACAAGAGAGAGATCCAGTTATACAGAAAATCCGAAAATGGAAAGAGGAAAACCGTCGACCACCTTGGCAAGAAATATTGAACCTAGGCTCAATAGTTAAGACGTATTGGGCCCAGTGGGACTCATTTATCATGGAAGATGGCTTGCTCAAACGAGTCCTGGAAAATGATGACGGTTCAGAGAAGAGAAGACAGTTGGTGATTCCAAAGAGCAGAATAGCCGAAGTACTTCGTCAGTTACACGACAGTCCATCAGGAGGGCATTTTGGTGTGAAAAAGACCCTTCAGCGAATTCGGGAACGGTTTTATTGGATGAACAGTTCCGACGATGTAAAAGACTGGTGTAAGAAATATACTATTTGTGCTACGAGTAACGGGCCTTATCGAAAAAGGAGAGCTCCTATGAGACAATATAATGTTGGAAGCCTGTTTGAAAGAATAGCTTTGGACATTGCTGGGCCATTTCCAGAAAGTGATAATGGAGGCAAGTACATGTTGGTAGTAATGGATTACTTCACTAAGTGGGTCGAGATTTACGCACTTCCAGACCAGAAGGCCGCCACCGTTGCAGATAAGTTGATCCAAGAATATATCAGCCGATTTGGAGTGCCTTTGGAGATCCATAGTGACCAAGGCAGGAACTTCGAAAGCGATTTATTCCAAGGAATATGTGATAGACTAGGTATGAAGAAAACAAGAACTACGGCTTATCATCCGCAATCGGATGGTATGGTAGAACGAATGAATAGAACAGTTGGCAAGTATTTGACAAAGATGGTGTCCGATCATCAGCGAGACTGGGACCAATATCTTCCGTTCTTTACAATGGCCTACAGATCTGCTGTTAATGAATCAACAGGCCAGAGTCCTATTCGGACGCGAGATGCGACTACCTTGTGATCTAGAGTTTGGGTATCGACCTGGAGAAGATGTAGCAGGTGAAGATTATGTAATCGAATTACGAAGAAGAATGGACGATGTACACGAGTTGGTCCGTTCCCATCTCCAGATCGCTAGTAACCGAATGAAGAAACGGTACGATACGCAAGCCGAAAAGGGGTGTTTTAAGAAGAACGATAAAGTCTGGCTTTATAACCCCAAAAAGCGAAAAGGTTGTTCTCCCAAATTGCAGCAGTTTTGGGAAGGTCCATACCTCATTATGGAGAAGATAAATGATGTTATTCACCGAATAAGCAAGATTCCGAGAGGAAAGCCGATGATAGTACACCATAACCGGTTGGCGTCTTTCGAGGGTGACCACGACGTAGATGAAGAAGTGAAAGTAAACCAAGTCCAAGATGTGTCTGACCTCACGTTTGAGGAATTCATGGGTGCCTATGGAGGTACCGGTAAAGCAAGACATGGTGTTACCACTAAAGAAAGGCAAGATCTACTCGCGCTTCCCGATGACTACTCACTGGCCCTTACCATCCCGGCCAGTATCAAAGACGCACCAGGGTTGGCATCCGTCTTTAGAAGGAAGTTTGGTCGAGTTGCAGAACTTCAATGCCAAGTGCCAGCTCCTGGTAAAATCTTGAAACTCCAAGATGCATCACGTTACCTTTTCTACCTGGTAACAAAAGACACTGCCCGTGACCAACCTACCTACCGAGATGTATGGGAAGCTTTACTTCGATTGAGAGAGCACGTACTAGAGTCCGACGTGCAAAAGTTAGCGATGCCAAAGTTAGAGTGCCACCAATTAGATTGGAGGGTTATTCGAAGTATGGTGGAGGAGATCTTTAGAGACACCGAAGTCCAGGTGTTAGTCTGTTGCAATCCGCATAGTTACTGGTGCGGAGAGAAAACCATTCCTTGTCATTTTTATAAAACTGGAAGTTGTAAAAGAGGGTCCAGTTGCCGATACCAGCATACCGTTTCAGTTCCAGTCCCGACAAGGTTCCAGGAGGAACCATCTTTTAAGAGGGGGGCAATGTTACGATAATTATGGCGTTTATAACTATCAATATATTATGACTAATTCTGTTTTCTGTTCCAGTAAATTCGAAGTTGTTTACAGAAACCTCTAGATTTTATAAGTAATCCACGTCTCGAGGCTTTTCAAACAGTTGAAAAACGAGTCGAGCGCCTTCACCAAAATACGAGATTATTCAAGAAGTTCGCCGAATTTTCTAGATGACAACAGTTGTGTATATAAATGAAAGATTTTTTATTTGGCAGTCAGTCATAAGAAGATCGGGAAACGCGGTTTACTTGTAACGAAACGTGACATAAATACATTTGTACAGCTATTTAATAAATTAGTAATTAGTTATCGTGAGTTTTAATAAATTAGAATATAGTCAATAAATTAGAATAAAGACAAATAAATTAGAACTATATAAATATACAACAATATTATAAACCTAAGCTGATACGGATAAGTAATTCTCAAATATTGTAAGTCAAGACGCTGTATCACATAAAACAAATGGATCAAGACGATTTATATTTAATTTACTAGACAAATAATTATTAGCAGTAGAAAAATAATTATTAACAACTTACTGTGCTATTTGCTGTCCCAAAAATGGTTCTCCCAGTTTTACTTGATCTGGAAAAGATCCAACTACTCTCTGGTACGGGTCCACGCTTAAGAAAACTGCTTTTGCTAAAAATTCTATGACATAAACTGTATTAGTAATAAATAAACATACATTTCAAATATTATTAAATAATAGATATTAATAGATAAAAGGCTAGGCCTAGGCAGTCCAAAAATAAAAAGTGTGTGCCACGTTTACCACGTTTAAGGTTCGGGGTTCCATTCTTGAACATTAGTATTTTTTTTTTTAATTAACGTGTCTCGACAGCATATGGTCATTGACACGGGTACAGTAGTTTACAACATTATACATATTTTATAATAGGTATAGGTACAAGAATTTAATATGAACATTTTTTTTTATAGAAAGGTTAGAACAATAAAGCTTATCACTATGCACTGATTATATTAGCTGAAATAAACTTGTTTCTTTTAAAAATCTAAGAACACTGTCAAAACGGTTTGGAACACTGAGAATGTCGTTTAGATTTCCTTTTTGGCTGTGCTTGTTTCTGGAGGAGTCATACTGGCAGCAGTCCACTATCATGTGTTTGATGGAAAGGGCGTTATTACAGTAGTGGCATACTGGAGGGTTTTCTGATGCCATAAGGTATCCATGAGTGAGGCGTGTATGCCCTATTCGTAGTCGGTGAATAACTGATTTTTCTTTCCTGTTCATAGAGGAGATATTGACGCGAGATAAGTTGGGCTGAACTTCATGGAGCTTAGTTTTTGTTTTACTCCACAGGTCCGCCCATGAGCTGAGGATTTTTTGTTTTATCAATATTTTAAGATCCGTATGGATTTGGACCTCTTGGAATTTTTTATTTTTAAAATTACTTAAATATTACAGTTCGACTTGGTGTGAATGTGAGTTTTTTGGGATAAATAAAGTGTTTAGGAGCTGACCGCATTAACTTTTTTGTAGATCGTGGAAGGAAGAAACAACAGACTAATATATACTCCACAACTGCTCTTGTGGTATTAAATTACCATATTAATTAAATTACCACCAAATTGCACGAAAAAATCATGTAATATTACAATTTCGTGGTATTATCGTGCTAGTTATAACGTGTTTTTCTGATTATCTCACAAATTTTGTGAAGCATTTTGATTTTCTCTACGATGTCCTTCGAAACGACAGTAAATGACAACATTCTACATATCGTCTTGACGTTTTTCTTAACCATGGCCTCTTTATTTGTATTTTAAGATCTATATACTTGGCGATTTTCTGTTCTTCTTCTCTGTCTTTCTTTTTCTAATGTTTTCACTCATCTTTCGATCTCTCACCGTATCTCCTGTAATTGACTTCATTTTAGTGTTGATATGTCGGTTTCGCCATATAGTGTTATTAAATCTGAGAGTCTATTTACTTTTAGTCCTAAATCTCCCGCTTCAGGTCACAATAGCTGGATAGTGTAATTCCAATATATTTTATTTTCATTACTTGTCTAATACTGATAACATCGATTTTTATTTTTTATCTGATTGGTCCTCTGCTGATTTCTATTGGCATAGTTTTCTAAGTAGAGATTATCATAATAAATTCTTTTGTTCTTATGTTAAATATGTGAACTGGCATTTGCACACCAGCTTCATCTTGTGCTATCAATGTTGCATCGTCTGCGTAACCGAGTATTTTTACCTTTTTATTTTCCATTCTGTATCCTCTTCTTTGTTGATACGTTTGATAATTTAATTTTTTACCAATTACTCGTTGTATTTAATCCGCCGAGTAGAATGATATCTGGTTTATTATATGTTATTGGTTAATTTGTGATTTCCGTATGGTCTCAATATAGTTCGCAGTGGTCATTCTCAGACATATTATCCGAAATATTATTATGATAAGTGAGTACTATAATGGTTGATTTGCAGAAATTTGAAGCTACTATCCAACTTAGTAAGAATTTTTCTTATAATATATTAAAGTAAATGCCTGAAGAATAAATATATTGTTGTATAGTGTCTGAGGCTGTATGACCGTATTGACATTTTTGTGATTTTTTACCAAAAGGTCTTTAATAATATAAAAGCTCCCTGTTGGAATAACCTAATACTAAATAAAAAGTGAACTTTCAACAAAGATTTTCTGTTATGTGAGTTTATTTTAATGCCAATTTCCTCTCATACTTCGTAAATTCGATCGAGCAGAATTTGGAGACCTTCAGTATTTTCTGACAGAATTACTGTATCATCCGCGTATCTAACTAGATTAGGTACTTTTTGACTTTTATCTCTTGATTTTTATTCCATATGGCTGTATTCCAAGTGCCTTTTTAAATAAATGGTCCAAGTAAATATTAACTATGATCCAAGCAAGATGGGATCAAAGGACCTGAGACGCCAATTTTTTTTATCATAAACTGAAAAAATTTTTATTGAATTTTATGCATCACTGATTTTGTTTTGAAGTATGGTTCCTTCAACATAGCCATGAGCTATTCAAAATATGTATTATTATTTTTTTATTTACTGCGTCGAAAGAGTTTTGTCACGTAAAAGGGCAACACGGGCCCGTCATACCCTATTTGTGTTTATATGTAAAGTATAAATCTTTGTTACAGAGAAGTAAATCTGACAGTCAGGTAATGTGGAATAATAAAGTCTAAACGTATAACAAACCAAGTACACATCTCTTTGAGGTGAAAATCAAAGATATGCTTACAATAGGTGTTATATCTATTCTAAATGGATTGTAAAAACTGATAATCATTGTTGGAATGCAATAATATTGTTAGGTAGGTACATATTTCAAAATAAATAATGCATCTGCTATCACTCGTTTGACGTCGATATTAGTGTCGACCAGTAAGCTTCTACTTGTCGACAGCAACTATTATTGAGTGATAATGGAGAAGAATGTATACCTACTGGTTTTCAGATTTAATAGTGTGTAATTTTGGAAACTAAGGATGAAATAACCTGGAAGAGTTAACCACAACCGACAGGACGTATGCGATCCTGCGACATAATAAAAAGCAAAGTGCACAAAGTAATGTTAGCCTATGGTCAAAGTGTAGATAATCCTGTTAATTCCTTTTTTGCTTGTTTGTGGGCGAAAAGAGTGTGAACGAAAAAGTAATGTCTACAAATAAAGAAGCCGAAAAAATCTTCCAGTTCTCTATCCCCGAAGGGGATAGAGAACTGGAAATTTTGTGACTCTACAGATCTGTATGCCTTTATTGGACTACTACTAACGGGTGCCTGAGTGCCAATATCCATAATGTAGATATACTTTGGAGTAAGTTTTATGGACGGACCTACTATATTTAAAGCTATTATTGAGTTAAAACCATTCAAAATTTTGATAAGATTTGTTCAATTTGACGATGAGGACACGAGGTCTAAACGAAGAATTAACGACAAATTAGCAGCAATATGCGACGTGTGGAATCAAGTCAACCAAAACTTTCAGAAACACTATTTACCAGGAAAAGGCATAACGGTAGATAAGCAATTTGTTGCGTATCGAGGTAGGTGTCCTTTTAAGCAGTATATGCTTTCAAAGCCAGATAATTATGGAATGAAAATATGATGTCCCTGTCACTCAAAAACATATTGCAATTTAGGCGGAATACCATATACATGAAAAAAAAAACAGATATAAGTAGCCAAAGGTCTTGCATCTTAAGTTGTAAAGCAACTCGTTGATCCTTATTATAAGTCCAAGAGGAATATGACTTGTGATAACTATTTCACTGATCTTGCTCTTGCACATAAATTATTGGCAAATTATCTAACTCTTGTGAAAGTGTGAAAATCACAGTGAAAAAAATGAGATTTGTTCCTTGGGAATTTTTACCTAACAAGAAATCTTCAATTTTCGGTTTCACTTTAAAAGCATCTCTTATTTTTTTTAATCTCTTAATATTTAAAACGTGGTTGGGGTAGCTTCATTTATCAAGTTTATCACTTGGACAAATTTAGATCCAAAATGGAACGAAAACAAAAAAGAAAACTTAGAACTAGTGTTGCCTCAAATTTTAAGAAAAAAATCAAGGAGACTTCAATGAAAAACAAAACAGTGTATTAAAAAATTCTTACAGGAAGTTGAATCACACAATAAAAAGCAAAAACTAAAAAAACCTCAAATTTTAACAAGGAAAAGGTGGCATACGTGCCCAACAAAAAAAGACAGGAAACAAAAAAAAATTGCAAAAAAATTGTGAAATCTGCAGTACAAATGTATGTAACGATTACTGTATAATTAAAAAAACTGTAACTATTGCAATAAACAAAAATAAATGACTAACCTATGTATGGCTTTTGTATTTTTATTGTTGTTTGTAACCTAATAATTAATAATAATTTAATCTGTAATATCAATTTGTTATTCTAGTTGAGAATAAGCTAATTTTATGGCTTAGTCGTAACTAAAATGATAAATTGATATGACAAAGTATTATTTGTAAAAGTAAAATAATAATATTCTTCTGACTTATGCGTTTTATCCATTTTGTAAAGATTGTTTTTGTCGATACTTTATAAATGAGCTGCTAATTACCATAATATTTTCTTAAAAGGGTTTACACACAATAATGAAGGGCAACAACACCGTAATCTTTTCTCCAGGGTATGTGTAAACATTAACCCACTTTTACAAATAAAACGGCCTGGTAGATTCACAAAAGTTTTTATTTATTCATTAATTAACTTTTTATTTGTAAGACAGCATACTATAGTAGCACCTTTTTTTTAATAGAGAAAATTTAAATTTAACTTAATTGAAAAATCAAAAAAGAATACTAGAAATATATGGGTAAATATGAATGGTATATTCAAGAACAGTGGTGGGCCCAAGGGACCCGAGTTGCCCGGTTACGTAAATAAAAAGTGTTGCTCGAAAAAGGGTTAAACAATGTTAGAGACAAATTACAGCCTTGTCTGACTTTTCATTGTATGCAGATTTTGCCGGCATAGTTGTGTCCAATTTTTACGATAGCTGTTTAATTACAGAACAGATTTTTAATGACACAAGTATCTTTGTCACCTGTTCCTATATTTTTTAACATCTGCAATAATGTAAATACTCTACTTTATCAAATGCCTTTTTAAAGTCGCGAATTATGCAAACACCTGTTAATAGGATATTTACCGCAAAAAGTTTCTCCCTAGTTTCCATCGCATTTCTAAATCCAAATTGGGTATCTTCGAGACCTTCTTTGCATTTGTGTCTAATTCTGCAGTGGAGTATTCTTAGGAAAATCTTAAAAGTGTAGCTCAATAGGCTTCTTCTGCTTTCAGTACCCTGTCCGATTATCGAACTTTGGCGATCATATTGGCAATAATAACTTTATTTACTGCGGCTCTAAATAAATTAGCGGTGGTTTCTTAATACTATTCTCGGAGATTTCGGAACCAAGATGTTTTTCGTCGGCCTGGGCCTCTCCTTCCGGCGATCTTACCCTGTATTATGAATTGTAGAAGGTTCTACCTCTCTGGGTGTCTCATTACATGACCGAAATATTGTAACTTTCGAATTTTTATCGTTTTTGTTATTTCTGTGCCCTTTTTCATTCGATATAAATTTATTTCATTTCTTATTCGATCAACATAGCGTAGCGATCTATATCCCTACATCTGTGAATCATGACCTGCAAACTGAAGAGTGCTTCTCTGGTTCCAAGGTGGTTTCTGCAACCAAATTGTGTTTCACTTAGTTGTACTTCTATTTTGTTGTGAATTCTTGAGTGCAGTATTCTTAAGAAAATTTTTAGTACCTGACTCATCTAACTAATAGTGCGATGATCGCTACACTGTTTGGCATTTTTTTTTTCGGTATCATTACAAATGTTGATAATAGCTAGTCTGTTGGTTATGTTGTGTTTCATATATTTTATTAAAGATACTTACAAGAGAATCTTTGCACTTATCGTCGAGCAGTTTGATTATTTTGCTTGGAATTTCATCTCAACCGGTTGCTTTCTTATTCTTTTATAGCTTTATAGCTCTTTCCATTTTATCGAGTGTTATGTTTGGACCAGTCGATACATTTTTAATTTGAATTTCTGGTCTGTCGTCATCAAACAACTGCTTAATATATTCTTTCCACTCCTCTATTTTGTCTTGTTTATTGACTATAATATTTCCTTGTTTATCAAGTAGACTACTTGCAGTTGATCTATGTGTTCCAGTTATTCCCTTTACCTTTTTGTTCATATTAAACGTGTCATTCTTTTTCTGCAGTTCTTTTATGTCAAGACAATTGTTGCTGTACCATTTTTCTGATTTCTTTATGAATTTTATTATATTCTTCAATGTTTTTATTTTTCTGTTTTTGCCTGTTTTTTATTAGTCCCAATATTTCATCAGTCATCCATTATTGTTTGCGATTATTAATAGTTTTATACTTTTTATTTGTTTCTTGCATAATGCTTTTGACATGATTCCATGTCAAATGGTCTTCGACGTTATGTGTTTCTTTTTATTTTTCAAACTTCTTTTTTATCTCTTGTGTAATTGCATGACTATTATTTTGAATACAGTCAGTGTTTATTCGGTCAGTGGGTTGTTGGCGTTTTACTATATAGTCAATAGGCTAATTAATCGATATTCTGAACATTCTCTAGTTTTTGTATTATTTTGTGTCATTGTGTTTTTTAGGTATTGCGACAAAGATGGACGTGAGCCAGGCTGCGGGAATCACTACAGTGTTATTTATTGCATTAAAAAGTTTTACTAGTATTTTGATCTCTTTGTTTATTGCCTATCCACCATTCTAGCTATGTGTTCTGCCCATCTTCATTTTAGTCTTACCTTATCTTTCGATGACCTTTGTCACCTTGGTTCTCCTCCTGACCTCTCCAAAATTAAGTTTGTCTCGCTAGAATTAAGTTATTCCTAACATGGATATCCTTTTTGTGTGACTCTTAGTTTGGTAGCAGAGGCTTTTGTTAAAGTTAGTGCTTTTGCTCCGTATGTGAACATTTAAAAGACGCATTAACCAAATGCTTGTTTCTTTAGGCATATGGGTAAGTCACTTTAAAAATTTCAGTTAGTTTGTTCATATGCTGCCCACCCAAGAGTAATTGGTCTCTTCAGTTCATCGGTCTGATTATCCCTACCACTTATAATTGTATGTACTAGGTATTTATATTAATCTACGAGTTTTACTCCTTGTCTACTAATGCTTATGTTCAGGTTGGGTACCAGGTATAATAAGCGGTTAAAGCGTGGCATTGGTCTTATAACTTTCCTTGTGTGCTAGCACAAGAACTAGCAGACTACCTTGCTATACTTTTATACAAACTTTTAAACAATACTAGCAGTATAAATAAAAAGTAAATTCTTTAGAGCAACATTATTGGACAATTATGGGTGTTTTTTATAAAGTAAATATATTTTAGTTGTCATAATCTGGTATAAACTATAAATAATTATGACTATGCCACATTGTGCCATATTCATATTCATATTTAGTGGCATTGTGCCACATTAAAGAAAAAAAACCTTTACCCTGATTACTGTCATTTTTCTAAATTGTGTTATTTAACTTTCCAATTTTATAGTTTGAAAAGCAAAGAAAAACAAATAACAATAATATGAATTCATTTCAAACAAGAAATATTTTTACACTAATAAATATAATGTGGGGAATAAACTAATGGCAGCAAACTTACCTCCATTTTTTAGTGGTGGCAAATTTTCTTCCCGAATTGTCATATCTGTATTCTTTGGGAAACCATCAAAATATTTTACAAGTGTCCAATATTTGGCTTTACAGGTTGAACCATTGTCACCTAAATTACGGTTAGCTAAAAAAACTGCACTGTTCAATAAATTAAAGACTATAATATTGTACGAAAGTTATATAAATACATTTATTTCTCTATGAGTAACTATTTTTGCAATAAATAAATCAATTATATTTAATTAAACTAAGACTCATACAACTATGGAAAAACGACGTAAATTAAATTAATTTTGACGGAATTATTATATAAAAATTTTCGAATAATCCCAGTGACTCTTTTCAACAGAAGTTTAACTAATATTCTAAAAGACGATTCCATTTTAGCTTCTATCTCATTGGAATTGTCTTGTGTTTTTCAGTAAAAATAGACCTCATTTTGAAGATTGTTAAACGTCACTTTATGTTTAAAAGAACTACTGTAAAAATTGTATTAGAGTATAGTGTAACTCTGTGTATGTTAAAATAAAGCCGTTGCTTCTACTATTTACTATAATGTTAATCATATTTTCTCACCTATTACACATTCCTAGGTTTTCAAATATTTCAAAACCAAAATTGACCAAATCGATTTAGTCGTTCTCGATTTATTATAAAAGTATAAAATGATATTTCTGTAGCTCAGAACCAGACAAACGTAAGTCACGTTTAGCCAACTTTTTAGAAGAGAGCAAACAGTAAAAAAGTTACCTGATTGCTTCATTACAAAGCTCTCATTTTAATTTACCTTCAAACTATTGTTTGTATTATTAACAAATAAGTATCCTTTATTTTTTTAAACTTTTTTCTAATAAATATATCCCATTTTGTAAAAAGTGGACTTATGTTATTGTGGCTCTACACAAAATCCTACTGTAGGACTTACTCCTGGACTTGCGTTATTTTGGCTCTACAAAAATCTCTCATAGGACTTACTTATCTAGAAAAAGGTGTTTAGAAATAAACTTTATGTGCTACTAATAAAAACATATAATTATTATAAACAAACATAAATGAAAAAATAGCATCTAGTCAATGTTTTTCAATTAATTTTGAACAATATTGTCAAAGAGGTAAGGAGAAAAAAATTTATCCAAGAGCAGTCGAGTCATCATCAGGGAAGTTGCCTTCGTGTTCACCATGTGGATGGTTTTCAAAGAAAGTATTCTTCAGAGATTAATTGCATCAGGTTCATGAGGTCGTTATACTTTTCATTGCTTATTTTCTTTTTATGTGCCCGTATTTGTGGAATTGCCAATGGCATATTATTTCTTTCTTTTCAGTTCAACACTTTTGAATAAATCTTCCTCAAAACTGATTTTGTAGTATAGCTTACTGCCCCCTTTTCGAAGCTGTAACCACACTGCATTGGATGTTAAAAATGGTTCGCTGTTTGTGTTTTTCTTCCTTGATATAAATGGGGCGTCTTTGCTCCGCAAGATGAGAAAATCAAAGAAGTCTTTAATGCACATCTGTCTGACAACAAATGGATTTTTTTTTGAGCACGTAGCAATAAGTTTGCTCAATCATTTATAGTGAAAATGGTGTTAGTTTTTATTTGTTTTTTAGTAGCTCTCTCTATTATGTTGTGTTTTCCATCAACCTCCATGTGGGTGTGTCCGACCAATAAGAACTTATGGTTGACTGTCTTTACAGTAGGAACTTTTTCTAGGAGCCACAAATAAATAAAAACCATATTCACATTTCTGTTTTGTCCACTGGAATTATCTGTCCAAATTGTCAGTACATTAGTAGGTTGATTATTAGTAATTTCTTCACTTGCCCATGTCAATAAGCAAGACGCTATTTCATTTCCTCCTCGACCCGCTGTAATACCAAGTTTTATCAGTTGTTGCATCATAAATAGTACTATTTAACGTCTTGAGTTTTCTTGAGTAAAAACGTTTGGTGTTTTTTAAGTCTGGTGTTGGAAGGCACTTTTGGAGATATGATATATAATCACTCTTGATCTTATGTTAGCACTTCTTTCAAGTTTGTCTTTTTTTCTTAACCCATTTCTTAATGAGGCATATTCGAGGTGTTTATTTTTTTTAAATTTCTATTCATTGAGTAGTTCAGCATTTTTTTCATGTTTCATTTCACAATCTAGTCTATCACAACCATCACATGTATCGCTGCCTGGTGAATGAAAAGACAAGTTTAAATAAAAATTTAAGAATAAATCCACTTTTTTTCTGGTTTAACTTGTTCTTTTTTACACTCTTTCTTATACAATGCGTACATTGTAAAAATGTTTAAGTGATTTTACAAATATTTTCGTTGAGACCCTTCCCTGCTGTAGTGGCTTTCATATGCAGGGAACTTTGAAATATGAGTTCTGATTCGTTGTAGTCTATTTATAGTTATTTTATTAACTGGCATATGTTTTCCCCTAAGGTCTGTAGTTACTAATCCAGATGAACCTTGGCCTTTTTTATGGCTACTTTCATGAAAGTTTCTGAGATTAAAAGTGTATTTAAGAAGAAACTTTTGCAAACTACTTCCTCATTTTTATGTAATTAAAAAAAAAACGAATGACTCAGATTTGTTTTTTCTTGTCCCGTCCCTCTGACGTTAACTATTAACTGACTTAGTTCTTATACAAAACAATATGTAGTAAGTGGAGTTACGTTCGTTTGACTCTGAGGTACAGATTTGTTAAACTTTATTTTATTATATTTTAAACTGCATGGATCAAATGAAATGAAACCGAAAGATGAAAAATTTCGATCTTCCAACTTGGACCAACAAAGAAATACACTTTCACAAAATTTTATTGCAATTGATTCAGTCGTTTTTGAAAATTAGCTTGGACAAACACCTTGCCCCGAGATTTTTATGTCTGCTGCATTCAATTTTGTCATAAATGGCTAGGCTACTATTGCCAGTATTGGAGCCGCATATTGCGATGAAAAGCACCTTTACATACATACAACCAAGCTAGCAAAAACAACCATTAACATAAATTACTTTTCATGGATATTTAAATAACAAACAAAATGAAAACAAGACGGTGGTGGATGTTAAAAGACGAAAATCAAGGTATTATGAGGCCAAGATAGTTGAAAAAATGAACTGCAGCATAAAAAGGCCCCAATAAAATTTAATATTATTAGCTTATTATTAATTATTATTATTTGTTATATTAATATTAATTAAGTGTTATTAACACTTTAAAAAAATTAAAATAAATTATTCTGGTGGGGGGGGGGGGGGGTCAAACAATTTCCTCATAACAATACAAGAAAAGAAAACTGTACAAAAAGTGACAAGAAAATGGATCTGACACAAATGTTAAAAATTACAAAGCCTCCAAAATAAAGCAAAGGCAAAAGCTAAAGCAGAATCGTATAAAACCTATAGGATGGACTTGTTAATAATGAGGGTGTGTCACGAGCTTTTTAAGATTAGCAGTGGTATTTTGTATACCATGTCTACACCTTCAGTGAGCATTTAAATTCACATTCAAATTTATTTATTTTTTCAAATTTTTATCCGGAAGCTATTTTCTTCTGATATATTAAGGTAATTACCTATTTTTGTTAAAAAAACACAATTTTACTGTAAAATAAGTTTTTTTCACGTTTCGATTTCTACTTGGAGAATTGAATTGGACACATAAAAAAAATAATAATTTTAAAGTAAAATTGTGGCATATTCCCACAAAAGTAGTAAATTGCAGCAATATTCAACTATTGTGAGTCGGAAAATGTTGGCATATACTAATTTCTCTATATCTCTTTAAATAATTATATTTTAAATTTGCAATTTCTAATATATTTTAAGTTAACCAAGACATATTTTTACTCGATGATTACTAATCCATCAATAGAATAAGTGTTTTTATTGTCTTTGACTAGTTATACCGTTATTAATAATTTTATAAAAACTGGAAAAGAGTATTTCTGTTTTTACAATTTTTGCCACAATAACTATAAGTACTGAACGTCTTCAGTATATCCTATTTTTTAATCTAAAACTGGACAGACACAACTTTTTTTTTTTAAGATAAAAATACGTTTATTGACGTTTTAACTTCCACTTCGGAAATCATTCTCAAAATACAAACAGTAAATTAAACAAATTTTGTTTTTTTGTTACATAGTGAAAAATTCTTCTAATAATTTAATTTTATCTCACTCATTTATATTGATAATTCAGACATGCATTATGCATTTTAAAGTAGACGACTTTAAAATGATATTGCCAATATTGTTGAGTTGCGCTCCTGGGACGACTTTACTTATAAGATAGTTCATTCGATTACATGAAATCAACTTTAACTTGAGAATATCCGTCAGAAAAAAATCATAGCATGTAATTCGTCTTTAAAAAGACAAACACATGACATGATGACAGTAAAATTCTCCTGTTAGTGATTCCATAGTAAATTATGAGGAAAAAACCAGGAAAACAACCTCATAATACTATCCCGACATTGTAAGTATTTGTTCGTGAATTTAGTTTACCTTCAACAAACATCAAAATTCTGATTTTATATGTTACGTTATTTAAAAAACATAAATGATGTATCCTCTATATGTTACTGACTTACTAAGACTGATATTTTCTTATTAATAACTTCCTCTTTCAATATTGGTAACCAGATCCTACTACATTCTACCGAGGAATTTGCGACACAATTGGCCTCATTTAGCATAATTAGAGCCGCTTCTTTGATTTTTCTTTTTTTACCATCCGTTTCTTTTAGGACTACATTTGAATTATTCCATTGAACCCTATGTTCATTATCCCATGCGTGTTTACAGATTTGAGATATATCAAATTCTCTATTTTTAATATAAGATTGATGTTCACTTATTCTAACATTTAATGGCCTTGATGATTCACCTAAATAAAACTGATCGCATTCACAAGGTATTTTATAAATGCAATTCTTTGTCCTTTCTTGTTCATTGTTAGGTTTGGTTTTGGACAAAATAGATCTCAACGTGTTTGTTGTTTTGAATGTTGTTGAAATGTTGAATTTATTTCCTATCCTTTTAAGTTTTTCTGATAGTCCTTTTATGTACGGTATTGTTATTTTCTTCATATTATTCCTTGTGTATGCTGTAGGATCTCGTT